AATTTAGCAATAAAACGAGCATTATTATTGAAAATAGCTCTTCTTCTAAGAGATTCAACAATAGTAAAATGTTTATTATTATTTGCAACCCAAGTATTGAAATTTGTAGCATATGCTACAACCACTAATAACAGAACAGTGAACATTAATGTTAGAGATTCAATTTTCAGAGTTTAAATAGTTTCTCATACAAACAGAGAAAATTAGAGTCATATGGAGTTTTCAATTTGGTCAAAGCACGTCCAAATACATTATTCAATATGACTTATTTTTCCTAATCATTTGGGTATGTTCTTTATTATTCTTAACTTTTTTAACTTCTGTTTTTGGAACAAACGAAATAATTTTTTATTAACTTTTCTTTTGTTTTGAGTCTAATGAAACTAAAATCATTAAATACGTCTGAATTTTACTTATTTGAATTCGTTGCTGAATATATATTTAAGAAATTTCGTAGAACATTAAGGCTTGATAAGTCAAGTTAAGTTTATGTAACTAACGAAATGGTTTTAATCTATCTCATTAGATGACGTGGAAACTTAAAATAGATTTTTTTAAGAATAGATTTAAAGTACAATTTAAAAAATATTTTTGATTCATCCCTAAAAATAAGACAAAGATAGTTGCAGAGGAGATAACAAAGCTATTATAAAAGAATTAATAGAATTAGGAGAAACTTATTTCCATTAACAAATGCCAATAACAATATAAAAATAAATAATAATTTTTATCTAAAACTCATTATAATAACAACTATCATATTAATTATTTTCATTATTATCTTAATTACATCACTCATCATTTCATTCATTTTCATCTTAATAAGTATTTAACAATAGATTAAATATAATTAAACACTATCATCACAATAAAATACAATGAAAAGGAATCAAATACTAAAACATCAATATGTGTAAACAAATATATAAAAACTTGTTAGTTACAACTTTCATTGAATTTGATGCAACTGATTTTAATATTCATCATACTTGTATTATAATAGTGAAATACCATAACTTACAATAAAAATTTACTTGTTAATGATAATTCATTCAATGCTAGAAGACATTATATTTACTACAAAAATATGAAAGAAAAGAAATGATATACTAATATTATTGATGTATTTCAATATAAGAATATAGAGTTGTATTATATTCACAAAATAAATAAATACAAGAAAAATAAAAAAAGATAATTAATATATATAAAGATAACCATTATAATAGTAAAAATAAATAAATATATAAAGAGTCAATAGGAATATTAAATACACTTGATTTAAAGATATACTTCATTAATACATTACAAACATAACCATCAAAAATTTGAAAAACTTGATGTTTTACAAATGAAATTCTGATAACATACTAAAATGAGATAAATAAATTATAATACCTTCATAATAAATATCCAAACATTATTCATTGTGTCTATTAATAAATATTTTAATATTTACTCTCAAAAACTTGTTTTGATGAAAATGAAAATTATATAGAATAGTTATTATCTTTAATTCTCAAAGTTGTTAAATAAAATATGTTTATTCTTAAACTACTCACTGTTACATAATAAGCAAAGTCATCTCTGACAAAATAATGAAAAATAATAAATACAAAAATTTATAGACAGTACTGATGTTTCTTTTTAATTGTTTTTATTTTGTTAATTAGCTAAGACTATGACTGACTAAAGCAAATTCAAGTAGTCATATCAGTCATGACATAACCATGTTTTCATTTTAAAATACATCATCAACAAGTTCAATGGTAATGAATTTATTGAAAAGCATCATTAAAACTGCAATATCTTGATGTTAGTAATAATACTATAACTTCTATTGCATGAATAAATAACATGACAATACTAACCTATTTGAACAAAGAAAATATCCAATTTGAAAAGTCTCAATAATCACCCAATTAAATAACATAAATGGCTCTAACAATATTCCAATAGTTGACAAACTTAATTTTATTCATCTTTATCAAATGACATCTCTAACATCATTAACTATAAATCAATCAACAATTAAACAGAGAGTATTATCTTTACACAAATTTAGCTCTTAATTTGATAAAATTATATAATTTTAAGGTTCAAAAAAAAAGAAAGTCTATGAAAGACCGAAACACTTAAAGTCATAAATAAAATCTATCTTAATAAAGTTTTATCAGTTATTAGTCTAAATACAAGAAATAGTAATATTTATACAATACTAATATCATTTTTACATTATATCAAAGAATTCCCTATTAATACCAAATTAGAATTAAATCAATCTGTATTATTTCCAATTCAGAAAGTAAGTAATTTAATTAACCAATGAGAACTATAAGTACAAGACATATATAAAGAAAATTAAATTATAGATTTCTTCTCAATTTTCTTATTCAAGGATTGACTGAATCTTTTATACTATTAAAGGTTTTAGACATATAAATTTTGCATTAATTAATCCAGACTCTACTACATTAACCACGAAAAATAGAAAAATACATGCGGGTTCTATTCATTCACAAAACTTATAGAATATGAAACTGAATTTGACTCATTAACATTAAGCCTTAATTGGGAAAAAACTTTAAATATACATTCAAAAATATTTGTTTGTTCATTAGATGTAATAATTTTGTTATTTAATATAAATACTAAATACTCACTAAAAATACTTGGTAATTAACAAGAGCTGCATCTTTATCAGTCAAATCTGATAGTTTTAAATTCATTTCTTCATAGTATAAAAACATTCTGTTTATATTTAATTTTGAAATAATATAACTCCATAAAGCTCTCGGTGAATTTCATAATGGCATAATTAATGTTGCTGACTTTAATAAAAAGCTTCCTTCTTTTATCTCTGCTTGTGAACACTCAAGAGTAGTCACTTGCTAGGTTCTTAGAACACCCTGTTATTCTCCTATTTTACAAGTCACTGGACAAACACCACTAACAACAATAATCTATTCAGACGTGACAACCCATAGTTGGTAGTGGTGAAGATAGTTATGTTGTTAGTATTGATACAAGAACAGTTAAACCAAAACCAATGAAGTCTGAAAAGTCTTAACAATCAAAAAAAAACACTACAAGAGCCTTATGCCTTTAATACCAATGAGTTAATACTCTTAATTGATAGAAATCGTATTGTTCATTTAAATGACAAATTTACTGAAAAAAAAAATAAGTCTTGTCTTTGACTAGAAGTCACTGGATGAATCACTTAATTGGAAACTACTGTTTATTAAGAGAAACTCTTTCAGTGATGAAAAATATTATTTAATTCAGTTAAATAAATAATGAGAAGAAAAAAATTATTCTTTAATAAAAAATAAATAGTAAATTGAAGTAAACGTTTTAATTATTATGACTTTCTGTTTTCCACAAATATAACAAAAGTCAATGTAAATTTTTTTTTTCAATAAGATTATCTCATTTTTCTTTACTTAACTAATAAAAATTATTTAACTTAAATCGATTAAGTCAATCAAAAAAATCAATTCATGATAAATTACTTTTTATTATTTTTTTTTGGTTTCTTTTCATTCTTATCTTTCTTCGTTCCTGAAACAAATTTTTCTTCTTCTTTCTTTTCTTTATTTCTTTCAGCTCGTTTTTCTTTTTTGATTTTTGATTTCTCAATCTTCTTTTGTTCTTTAGCTTTTTTCTCTTCTTCAATTCGTTTTTGTTTTTTAACGGAACTTCCCTCATAAATTTTCTTTGAAGTTTCACTGGCATGAGCTTGAATTTCTTTTCGCTCTTTTTGTTGTTGTGCAATAATTTTACTAAAGAAATCATCTTTTGATACTGTTTCATCAACAAAATCATCAATATCTTTTAACCCTGTTTCGTCTTTCATTTCTGCGATTTTTAATTTATGTTGATGTTCAGCAATAGCATTAAATAGTTGTACAACACCTTTCATAGCAGTTTTTTTAAGCTCTCTTTCATGTTCATCAATTAAAACACATGTATTATTATGTTCTTTTTCGAGAAACATTTTTCTTAGTTTTTGTCTTTCTTTCAATTCTTTTTCTTGCATTTTTTCTTGTTTTGTTTTTCCCGGTTTTTTGATAAGCTTTTCATTATCTACAATATTATCAAGGATTTGATCCAATCCACCTTCCTTTTCTGTCATCTTTCAATCTTGTTTTTTAGATGACTTAATAAAACTATACTTTATTAGTTTTTTTATAATTACAAATTAGGTTTTATAATTTTTGATTATTAAATGTTATATATAACATATATTGTTTATAAAAAAAATGAAACAAATAAAAGACAATATATCTTTTTTAATACTATCACATGTTTAGTGCTTCTGACACTTCTCAACAAAACCATAACACTCCACAAGACAAATGGAAATCACAACCTATTGACACTCTTTCTTTACCAGTAGCAAACACCACTCGTGTAATGAAAAATTCCGTTTCAATGCCTAATGGATCTGCAGTGCGTATTTCTAAAGATGCCCAAGAATATATGACTGAGGTAGCAACTGAATTTTTATCATTTATAGCCTCTGAGTTTGTTATTTTTTTAAAACAAAGAATTTCGTTAATAAAGTAATAGGGCTGCTGATGTACCAAAAGGATCCGTAAAACCTAAACATACTCTTACAGGAACAGACATTATAGATGCATTAGATAGACTAGGATTTGAAGATTATTGTCTTTCACTTCAAAAACACTTAAAACATTTTCATCATGTTTGTTTCTTATTAATATTTTTTATTTTAATCTGTAAGTATTTACCTTGGAAGATGAATGCACAAGATGAAGGGTATGAAGCTAAAAAAGGGTTTTATGAAAGTCATATCTCGATGAATGAAGAGTTTCCACCTCAACCTCCATGTTAAAGTAATTCAACAATGACCTTTCATTTCACAATGATTTTGTATGACACAATCAGGTTTTTTTTATAATTAATAATAATATTTTAATAAGATGAATAAAAAATAGAACTTGAAATTAAGATTTTTTTAAAATCTTAATTTCATGTCTTTTCAATATCCATTAGTTGATGAGAATATTGTACAAAAATATCATATCAAACAATTAATTTATAAAGACTCTACAACACAAGTATATCAGGCTGTTCAAATTATCAATCCAATCAAAAGAATTGCAAGACTAATTGCATTAAAAATAATAAAAATTAATCCAAATGAAATACAAAAAAATAAAAGAATGGAAGTGTATTGTAAACTTATGGAAACTGTAGAAAATTCACATGTAATAAAATATTATTCATCATTTTATACAAACATAGTTTGAATAAGTATTTAATTTTAAGATTAGTTAATTTATAATTAAACATTTATAATATAGAATGGTCATTTAGAATATTGGATTTCAATGGAATATTGTAATTTCTTTTCATTAGATAAATATTGGCAAGGTAATCAAATACAACAAGAAGATCAAAAGAAATTTTTTATTTCTGACATTGCTGTTGGTTTAGATTATATTTATCGACGGCTTAATCATCAACACCTATATCTATGTCCTTCAAATATTTTAATATCAAGAGATCCTGCTTCTATTTTTCCAAAAGTAAAATTATCAAATTTTGCATTATGTGATCAAATAGAAAATTCAATAATACCAGAAATAGAATTATATGATATTAATTATGCTGCTCCTGAATATTTTAATTATTATACTCATTCTAAATCAGACGTATGGTCATTTGGGGTATTAATTTTTAAATTATTAACTGGGTTTTGTCCATTTGAGTTAATTCAAATTGATCCATTCACTGCTATTCAAGTACAGGCATGTGTTAATTTTAGTTTATATATTAATGATAATGATGCTGTTGACTTATTATCTAAAATGCTAAAATATGATCCTGATGAAAGAATATCTATTCAAGAAGTACTTAATCATCCTTATATAGTAACATGTATGAATCATAAGTATGGAACCCAAGGAAAAAGAGAAAATTATAGAGCACTTCGTCCATTAGATCATGGTCAATATGGTCAAGTCTTTTTAGCAGAAAATTCTGATCATACACAATTTGCTATTAAAGAGATTTCAAAAAAAATAGAGTCATTACAAAGAGAAGCAACATGTATGAGATTATGTAAACATCCTAATTTAGTAGAATATAAAGATTATTTTGAATGGAATCACTCAATGATTGAACAATTACGAGGTGGTAGAGACATTGAAGGAAAGTATGTTTATTTAGTTATGGAATATTGTGATGCTGGCAACCTTGAAATTTATATGAAAAATAAACCAACTCCTTTAAGTAATAATGAAATTATGTATTTTCTTGGAGAAATATGTAATGGCTTATGGTATCTCCATTTCACTAAAAAATTAATTCATAGAGACCTTAAACCAGCTAATTTATTATTACAATCAACGTCAGGTCCTTTGCCAAGAGTAAAAATAGCTGACTATGGGTTTTCTAGAGGAATTAATGACTTAATGGCAACTATAGTTGGAACACCAATTTATGAAGCACCAGAAATCATTAAACAAAAACCATATACAGCAAAATCTGATTTATATAGTCTTGGTGTTATTTTATATCAAATGGCAACAAAAGAATTTCCTTTTACTGATAATTTTGAAGTATTTCAAAATTCAATGATGAATGAATTACCTGTAGAATTTAGAGAGGATGTAGTTATTGATGAACAACTAAAAGATCTGATCCTTCATTTAATTACTCACCATGAATATCAAAGACTATCATGGAGTGAATTTTTTGCACATCCGTATGTACAACGTGCTTGTGAAGTATCTTCACACCAACCAAGAATGGAAGAAGTAAGTGATTTCCAAGAATTTTAAAGTATTTTATTTCTTATTAAAAAAATAAAATAAAATAATCAACGAATTTTGGAAAATAAAGAATAGAAATAATTAGAAAACCCTTAAAACTCAAAATGACAAGACTCAATGGAACCTCCTAAAAAAAGCACTAATTTTCAACGTAAACCATTAACAGAAGCAAAAAGATTGTCTATGTCATTTGAGGCAGAACAAGAATGTGCATTAATATGTTTATTAATATATGAAGGATTTAATATGCAATTTAGTGTTCCAAGAAAATCATCCGAAATCTGTCAATTTTTAGATCTAGTAAGAATTTATGGGAAAAACATAAATATTGATATGAAAGAAGAAATTAAGACTATTGTTGCTAAAAATTTAAAAGGAGTTAATCCCAAAAGTAAACACCATGTAAAGTATGAAAGAAGAAATACTATGGCAGCTACTATTAATTTCCTTTTAGAATTATTACAAAAAATGGGATGTGAATATAAAGAAAAAGGTACAAAAGGATCAAATATTACATTAAAGATGAAAAAAATTAAACATCTTAAATATAGGTCTGTTAATTGGGACAGTGAAAAAATAGCTACTATTGGTGATATAGTCAATAGAAGAATTAAACAATTTTTTAGAGGAAAAAAACGAGAAACACTCGTTGACCTTCCTTGTTCAATGATTCAAGTAAATGATTTGGTGGATGGATATTATAATGAAAAATCTGCTTTTAAATGGGTTAGTCCTGCTTCAAGAAGTATCCAACAAGATCCTGATGGTGATGATGAGACATTAGAAGAGTGTCATGTTCCATTAGTGGAAGAGAATGTACTACCAAAAATAGTAACTGATGAAGTTATTGCTCAAAAATATGAGGAGAACTCAAAGTCTTCTGATAATAAACTAATAAAAGAAGACTTAGAAACTAATACATTTGAAATTAAAAATGAAGTAGATCATTTCAGGAATGATTTAATGAAAGAGTCACAATCTAAAGATTTAAAGTCATCAGAAGGAGATATTATTTCAAAACGGTTACATGCAAGTTGCATGTTAAATTCTAATGAAGGATTTTTTATTGAAGGTACATTTAGATATTAGACAATTTATTGTGTTTTTTATTGCATCTTTTTTTTTAATATTTTTGTTATTAGAGTCTGAAGATAAAATTTTTAAACAATTATTTTTTTCAACATCTTTTTTTCTAATAAGAATGAAATAATAGCAGAAAGTTTTTCATTTAAAAATTATGGTTTACTTTTGTAATATCTTTGTCTAATTTGTTAATTATTTATGTACATTAGCATTAAACTCAAATAAGTCTAAAAGTATATTCAAACACATTTGGTTTGCAATAAAGGCATATAGTTATAAAGATATGAATTTAAAATAAAACAATAACATTACTTTATTTAGTAAGTTTGTTTTATTCAATTATTGGTTTTAAAGAATTAATATAAAGAAAGGATGTGGTATGAAATAATATTAAAAAAACATTTTTAGTTGTAAGTTACAAATAAAAGATATTATTTGGTTAAAATTGAATTTGGTAATATTGTTGTATTAATATTTAGTCATGTTTTACTGAAGTGAAGTATTAAAATTTGCAGATATGTAATCATTTTCAATGCATTTGTTATATTCAAATATATTAAGTTTAATACAATGTCATAAAGAATAAGAAGAGAATATTGCATCAATACAACATTTAATTTGTTATTAAATGCATTTCTAGTATTAGTATATTACGTCTATAATAAGAATAAATATTTATGTTAGTTGTCATTTGAGTAATAGCAGTATTATTTCTTGAATAATAGTTAAGTGATGTTATTACTCTCAAATAATTGTTTAAAGAAATCACTAAACCAAATAAGGTATTTTCTTGTCTCATCTATTCATCTAAAAATGTATTACTGATTGTTTAGAAGAATTTGATACATTAATAAATAAAGTTAATTTTCTTTATTGAATTAAATGAATATTTGTTTAATTTAATGTATTCAATTAATGAGTCGTTTCGTTAAGACAGTATTTCTCAATTGCCTTAGCAACTCCACTGTTTTCACATCTGTCTGTTACTAATCTACCTTCTTTTACTCGATCCTCTGCTTGACCCATAACCACAGGATATCCTACAACATCAAGCATTGGAACATCATTCATAGCATCTCCAATAGCCATGACATCTTTTAAATCAATACCAAGCATTTTAGCAAGTGTTTTGACGGCATGTCCTTTTGTTGCATCACTCTTAGTGATTTCGATGAATGTAGATTGTGATTCTGTAACAACAATACCATCAATGCCAGTGAATAATTGCATCCATTTCATCTTTTCTTCTTTAGAATGAGCTATTGATAATATTTTAGTCACTTTATTTAGATGAAAAACATTCTCTCCTATTTCTTGTGCTTTAACACCAATTTTCTTTTCATAAGACTCGGTTAAGTCTATTTTTCTTTCTACAAAATATTCATCTCTGATATAGAATTGTGCATAGACATTGTTCTCTTTAATAATTTTATTAATTTTTTTCAATTGTTCTTCATTAATTTCACTCTCAAAGACTATTTCATTTCCATGACATATCATTGCACCATTATAACAAATTAAATATTCATTTTGTATCCCAACTTGTTCTGCAACTTTTATCGCACTATTTCTCATTCTTCCTGTTGAAATACAAACATAAAT